TCTCTGGTGTTAGGATAAATTGTGGGAAGGGGTGGGGGAGCCTGGAAATTGAATTTTGGATTTCTAATGTGGCTCAAACTGCCACAGTGGCATTGATAGTTCTCATAATTATTCCAGTCAATCCATTTGCTCATTTTGAATGCTGGTACATTTGCCTGGTCTGACATTTCAGTGCCTTTCAAGACCTGGGAAAAGTGTTGCTGATGCTGCAGACAGTTTCTCAGGAGCTTTCAGAAAACTCTTGGATGCAAGTTAGCTACAGCTACTCATTTAATGTCCAGCTTCTAACGCATTGGCTGCTCATCTCTGAGTTTTTGCTGAAAGAGCAACTCACAGTAGCCCAGCTTGAATCCATTCTCGTAATACCATGCAGTTGCGTTCAGACCTGCTTTTTATCTCCTCAGCTGTTCTATCTCACCTGGGATCAGCTCTGTGTTGTAGTTAGGTTTCCTATCCTTAGCTCAGCAACTCAGTGTTGCTGTGAGCTGCTAAAATAATTTCTCTTTGAGAAACTGCACAGAGGGTTGTAGAGCTCCTGACTGGTTTGTTTCCTGGAACCAGGGTGGAAATTGCATACCCTGCTGAAAGAGGCAGGGTTTCAGAGCCCAGTTGGCTGGAAGCTGGCAGTTTACTTGTTTGTCCCTTGTTTCCTGCATCTCAGAGGGGTTTCGACCCAGCTGGGAATGCTGCTTAATGGCTTGCTCCCAAATCCTGTTTGTTCTTTCACTGTCCTTGATTTGCGTACTGACCCGCCTGCTGAAGGAAGAGATTTCCTTTACCAGAGTTATTTATTTATTTATTTGTGCATGTTGTGTCCTGCCACATGTTGTCTTCTCTCCTGCAATTGCTTGTACAGGTAGCACCAATCAGCTCCAGAGGGCTTCGTGTGTTGCTCAACTGGTCTCACCAGCTTCAGCTGAGGGCTGTAAGCATACAGAGGCCCTTTTTTCTTTGAAATGGACAGTGGTTTTCTAATTAAATGCCTGTATTTTTGTGAAGCTGAATGGTTCCCTGGCTGTGAGGGGAGGTTCTGCACAGAGGTGCCTCAGCAGTGAGTCCTGGCCACATAGACTTAGTTTTTTGAGCACCCAGCCTCATGTCCGTGTGCTGAAACCGAAGCCAAAATGTGCAGCTGTTTGCTTTCCCCGTGCGGTGAGACTGAGGCCTCAAAGGCAAATATTTAATGAGTCAAGAGAAGGGTGGAATTTTCCTGCCTTTCTGTTAATTTTAAACAAAATCAGGGCAACTGGCACAGCTCCCTTTCAGAGAGTGTAATGGAGAGGAGGTTTGGTGGCGCTTGGATGTGCTTCAGTCTGCATTGCCACCCGGGGCATCCCAAGCCACTGGTATGTCTCATGTAAGCTGAATTGCTGAAGCAATCAGAGTCTTTTGCTGTAAAGCATGGGAAGAAGGGAGAAGGTCCCCAGGGGGAAGGGATAAACAGTAAGGAACAGGGATGTCTTGAGCCAACAGAGCTGAAAGGAGGTGGACTTGTACCCCAAAGCATCTGGAAGGAGTGGAGGTTCTGAAAATTTAAGTACCTTGTGTTTTACATTTTGTTATAACCCCTGAACCCTTAAATCCAGGCTGAAGGGGTGTCAAGAGTGAAAGGTGTTAGAAGCCAGTGAAAAGTCCATGATGCCTAGACATAGACATGCTTGTTTATGAGGGCCTTGTGTCCTAACAGATTATAACATGTTCTGCTTTTCAGATTCCATTCTACAAGGAGATGTGCAAGGGTATTCAGGCGGGTGAGATGTGCGAGAAGTTGGTGGGATACTCTGCAGTGTACAAAGTCTGTTTTGGAATGGCCTGTTTCTTCTTTTTATTCTTCTTGTTCACCATCAAAATTAACAGCAGCAAAAGCTGCCGAGCATACATTCATAACGGGTGAGTTTTTTGTTTGATTGCTTAATTTTCACATCTCTTTAAAGGTTTGTGCCCCCAACTTTCCACTTGGGTGTCATAGTAGTAAAAAACTCCCTTCAATTAAAAAATTGATTTTAGTGCTATTGTCAGAAATAGTACAGTCAAGTGAAAACTAACTAAAGTGGCAATGAGGGGTTTTTTTACCTCTTGTTGGGCTTTAAATAGAGATCTCTTGTGGTACTGTGTTTGAAGACCTCTAATTCCTATTATGAACAGGTGATTTTTTTTGTTTGTTTTTTCCTCTGATCCAGATTTTGGCTTATTAAACTTATAGTTCTGGCAGCAATGTGCTCAGGAGCCTTCTTCATTCCTGATCAGGACACCTTCCTCAATGGTATGTCCTCCTTACTTCGTTACGCTGCTTTGTTCTGTACTATCTTGTGGGTGGTTAAAAAATCCTAGAGGTCTGATCAACATGAGTATTGCCATGATTCTTCAAGTAAAGCCTGTATGGGCCAGGTGCAAAAAGAGTATTCAGAGCTGTTTTGGGGGGAACACTGTGTCTTCCTGCACAGACATGTCTTCATGGGAGTGTGCAGGAAAGAGCATGTTTTTTCTGATCAAGAGCAGGCCAAATAGGTAGGTAACAATACCACTGCAGTGCTATCTTGCAAATTCTTTAAGAAATAGGGAACTGTAATGGTGCAAAATAAATTATTCACTCAAGGACAGAGAGTGGCATGTTAGTTTGGCTTGTGCAGGTAGCTCTGGTGTAGTACAGTAGCTGGGCTTCATGCTGTACTCTGGGAAGGTGCCAGTGCTCAAGGGGGCACAGTGTTTGCTGGTTTTTGCTGCCTGAAAACTCGCAATGACCCAAAAGAATTTGGGATGTTGTTAGTTTTCAGGCTGGTGGCATAAATCCAATAAAGTAAAATTAGACTTCTTGGACCATGGTATAAGTGCTCTGCTGAGGATGACATGTCAGAAGCATTTCCACTTTTGGAAGGCACCCTGGCCCCACACAAGCACACTAGTACTATCCCAATACTTAAATGCCAGCTGGGAGGGGAGCTTCTCACTGGAGTCTTGCAGGCTAGGAGCAAAAATCCTGGTGGTACAGAGATGAATTTGTTCTTTTATGAGAGAGATACTTGAAAGCCCATAAGCTGTTGAGTCCAGACAGGTGGAAAGGAATAGGATCAGTAATGCAAAGGATTGCTTGCACATGATGTCTGCTTCCACTAGGACT